GGCTCAGCCCTGGCCTTGGCCATGCACTTCCCAGGGATGCTCCCCAGGGACCGAGGTACCTTAACAGCACTGTGTCCCCACTGCCCTCCTCATCCTCCCAGCGCTTGTCCCTGTCCCATCCCAGTGACCGCCTTGTCTTCCTTGCCTCCACGCCCCTGGGCAGCACCCATGCTGGTTATGCTCAGAGCCAAGCACTGGGTGAGATCCAGCCCAGTGCACGGCTGCGTGTCCTGGCTGACTCCTTTTACCCTCAGAGCACCCCCCGCAGCCTTCCACGGAGGAATGGGTGCAGGGATGGCACGGGGTGGGGTGTGCCCGGGGTCCTCCTGCAGCCCCACACGAGTTGGGGAAAAGTGGGCGCAAGCGTCCTGAGAAACGCTCCACTGTCCCACTCGGACAGGGACCCCTGCGGGCTCAGCTGTCCCAGGGGTCTGCCCTGGCAGTGGGGGCACTCGTGAGAGCAGCCCCCGGCTCCCCCCCACCCCGGCAGTGCGCGGTGCCGGTTGGCAGTGTGCTACGTGGCGATGAGGGGCACCTCGCCAGCAGCCATGGGGAAGGGGGTGCCATCCCCCCCACTAAGCACGCGGTACAGCAGCTCCTCCTTCTCGTGGTGCGCCTGCTCCCGCAGCTGTGCCTCCTTCTCCAGCGCCCCGCGGGCAGCCACCAGCTCCTCCGACAGCTGCCTGTGGGAAAAGGACATGCGCTGCTGGAGCCGCTGGGCAAAGCACCCGCAAGCCCCTCTGCTCCCTGCAAAGCAGCTGGTGGCACGTGTACCCCTCTGCTGCCACCCTTATCCCCATCGGAGATGCCACCTGCAACTGCTGTCATCCTGCCACCGTGCACCAGGGAGCTGGTGGGTGCGTGGGGCCAGCGCTTACCTTGCCATGACCAAGTGGTTCTGGGTGCGAACCTGCAGGTCCTCGTTCTCCTGCTGGAGGGTCTTCACCTTCTCCTCTAGCAGAAGGTTCCTCTCTGCCTGGAATGGGGGACACAAAGGTGAGGAGGGAGCTGGAAAGCACCTCCAAACCCCCATCGCTCAATCTGGAGGCAAAGCCAGCTTGATGAAAGCGTGGTGGCATTGCACTTGTGTCTCCTCCCCACCCTGAGGGAGGAACTGGGTTCCATCCACCTTTACTTCAGCTGCAATTCCTGGATAGGATTCAGGTGGGGAGAAGAGATAGAAAGAGGAAAGCCCACCTGCACCCCCTGCTTTGAACCCACCACAGCCTCCAGGTACAGCAGCTTCTTGTCCAGGCCGTGGATGTGCTCATTCTTCATCTCGATGACAAAGTGCAGGCTCTCTAGCTCCTGCTCCCAGAAGGGGCTGGGGCTCCCATGCTCCTGCAGAGCACAAGGGGTATGGCAGCTGCAGCAGGGTGGGCACTTGGGGCATCTGCCATGGTTCACCCCCCCACACATGACCCCTGTGGGCCGCTGCTCTCAGCTGGGGCCCTTCATGGGCCAGGATGGCTTTGTACCCACAAGACACCACGTTTCGCCCATCACTTGTGTTGAAGGGACCCCAACAGCCTGTGCACCTCCCAGGGACAGGGCTTTGCTCCCCCTTTCAGCTGTCTTGTGGCTCCCCTGGCTCCAGCCTCTCCACCTGCTCTCAGGGTGCATCAGAAGAGCACCCCTGGCTTTGGACCAGCATCCCAGAGCAGGTCCCCCCGACACTCCTCTGCAGAGGCCGCTGGTTCCGCATCTCCTTGTACCTGGATGTGCTTTTTGTAGTCTGTGCTCAAGAGCGACTCCTCCACCCGCTTCATCCTCTCCTGGAAGGACTTCAGCTGGGAATTCAGCACCTGGATGGTCTCCTAGGACAGCCAGGGAAGAAGCAGGATGGGAGGTGTCCAGGATTTCTTCCCAAGCAGGGGCAATGGTGGGCTACAGCACTCCCATAACCCCAGGGCTGGAGGGTTGCAAGGAGCCTACGTGGTTTCTGGGCACAACTGGGACCGAGGTGGCCGTACGGGAGCTCAAGGTGCCATGGCAGACCCAGCAGATGGTCCTCGAGCCCTCCACCAACACCCTCTCCCCAGGTATTTCTCCGTGGTACCTGTAAGGCCGTCTGGGACCTGTGGTGGGACTCTGCCAGCAGCAGCTTCTCCTGCTCATGTGTTCTCTGGAGCTCTGCAGGGGGGACACAAGCTCAGTGTCACCGACATGGGGACACCGGGGCAGTGAGCCCATCCCAAGCCCCCCGATGCCGTGGAGAAGGGAGTGGTGTCCCCATGGCAGTGCAGGGGGAGCAGGCAGGGGGCTGTCACGGCACACACCTTGCAGGGTCTCCATGTGCTCCCTCCTCAGGGCATCAAACTGCTCCTCCAGCTCCAGGTCTTTTCCCTTTTCCACCTGGGAAGCAGGGAGATGACAAACCCTACATATCTGACCTGACATAAGGGATACTCTGTCACTCCTCTTCCTCCATGACCCATGGCCAGACCCGCTCCACTCCACACTTCCTAACCCCTTCCTTCTCCCAAAAATGAGAGAGCCCAGCCCAGCGTGTGCCAGGTCCATGATCGCTGCCTGGGAAGTCCTGGCTGGCCACACGCTCCCTGCCTGGCCACTGAAACCCTACATATCTGACCTGACATAAGGGATACTCTGTCACTCCTCTTCCTCCATGACCCATGGCCAGACCCGCTCCACTCCACACTTCCTAACCCCTTCCTTCTCCCAAAAATGAGAGAGCCCAGCCCAGCGTGTGCCAGGTCCATGATCGCTGCCTGGGAAGTCCTGGCTGGCCACACGCTCCCTGCCTGGCCACTGCCCCCCGCCTCTGCCCCTAGCGCCCCCCGCCTTTTTGACCGACCTGGACATTAATGTCCTGGGTGATTCTTGCAGTCCTTGCCTCCTCCTCCTCCTCTTGGCCTTGGAGAAGTCTTGTGCCCTCCGTCCGCTCCTCTCCCAGTGCTGCCTTCTCCTTCCCATCCTCCAGCAACAGGGCAGCATTGGCTGCAACACAAACGTGGCTGAAATGGCGCCTGCTGCATCCTGCTGACCGGGCTGCTCGGATGTCCTGGGCAGCCAACCTGCCAGCACAGTGGCCTGGGCTCAGCCCTGTCCTCTTCCCACTGGACAAATACCTCCCTCCACATCTCACTGGTGCAAATTAGCACTAATTGGGATGACACTTAGACTTAGAGAGGACACAGCTCGTTAGGGAGGGGACGACCTGTCTACCTGAGAGAATGGGATGCCATCATCTCTGGGATGCCATCGTGTCTGCCTGCCTGTGCCAGCACCATGGGGAGTCTGCAGCCATCATCCTCATCCTCCTGACCCCGGTGCAGGCTGGCTACCCTGGGCTCTGTCCTAGGGCCTTCTTAATATCACACTGAGAAAGCACTGTGGGGGCGGAGACACACATTTTCTTCTCACCATTCTCTGTCTTCAAGGCCGTGAGCTCCTGGGACGCCGGTCCCCTCTGCGGCTGGGCTTTGAGCTGTCTCTGGCAGAGAGAGAGGGGGCTGGAGCCAGGGGGGCACAAAGCAGGGCAGGTGGCTGCAGGCAGAGGACACCCTGCAGCCAGGCAGCCTGCACTGAGCATGCTTCAGCCCCCCTGCTAAAACACGGGGGTGCTCGAGCAGCAGTGGTCCCCCCCCGACCCCCAGCCAGCCCTGAGCACCCATGGGTGCGCACACACTGCCCCGAGCTTGTGCCATTTCCCCCATGTCCCGGCCACTTCGCCATGCGGAACTGCCAGCCACCAGCTGGAAAATCTAGGGGATGCTCACAAACCCCCCAACATGGTGCTGGTGTGAAATAGGCTCCGGCAGCAAAACATTTGGTGGGAGAGAAGAGGCAGCACTCAGCAGGGCTCCGGCTATGGTGCTTCCTTGCCACTCTCCTCCTGCCATGTCCCTGCTGCCCCCAGATGCTCAGGGCCAGCCCAGTCCCTGGCACCTTGCAGCTCCCCAAACACGCTCCTCCACCGGTGCTGTACACAGCTGGGCTTTGACACAGTCCGTGCTGGCGCAGGAGCGAGAAATGAAGAATAACCAGGAATCAGAGGCGATTCCAACCCCACGCAGGGCTGGCAGCACGCGAGGGCTGGCGGGAGGGTAAGCAA